GGGAGCGGGGAGGGAGGCATTATGTCATCCCGGGAGGCCGTGTGAGGCCCTTCCTGGCACCGTCTGGTTTCCTCCCCGAGGTGACATTGTGAGGGTGGATGACTGCTCTCCCACTTCCCAGATAGGAAACCGAGGCTCAAAGAGGCGTCCTGGTGGCCCCGGGGCCCAGCTAGGATCAGGGAGCTGGCACTTGGCCCGTGGGCAGAAAGCACTACAGTAAGGCAGGGGCTGCCTGCCTGCGGAGGGCTGTGCCCCCAGCAGCCCAGGACTGGGGTGGAGGGGACGGAGGGCTGTGCCCCCAGCAGCCCAGGACTGGGGTGGAGGGGACGGAGGGCTGTGCCCCCAGCAGCCCAGGACTAGGGTGGAGGGGACGGAGGGCTGTGCCCCCAGCAGCCCAGGACTGGGGTGGAGGAGACGGAGGGCTGTGCCCCCAGCAGCCCAGGACTGGGGTGGAGGAGACGGAGGGCTGTGCCCCCAGCAGCCCAGGACTGGGGTGGAGGAGACGCTCACAAACACCTAGTGGTGGACAGAGGAGGGACGAGCCCAGATGCTGCAGAGGGGCGGGTGGGGAGAGGCCTGGCAATGGTGGGGGTGGGGGTGCTTAACCTGGGTAGCCAGCGTGCAGGAAAGGTAGTCTTAAAGCAGGGGCAGGACCCAGGACCCCTCTGAGAGCCCCTCCCCACGTGTTAAACGGGAATCAATGTTCCAGGAAGCATCAAGGAGCCCAAATTGAGTGATGTTCCCTGAAGCACCTGACCCGGAGTCCACAGAAATGTCAGCATCGCGCCAACTACCGGCAGCAGGTGGCCCCGGGCTGGATTCTGGGCCAGGAGAAAACTGTTTCCTTATTTACTAAAATGAGATTGTTGGGCCAGAGTGTGCGATCTGAATACAGTGTGTAGATTAGATAACAGAACACAGTAATGTGTAACTGTCAATCATCTGACTTGCTGTTTGTTCTGTGTCTGTGTAAGAGGCTGGTCCTGTGCTGAGGAAACACACGGAATATTTGGGTAAAAGGGCATGGGCATGCAACTTGCTCGGAAAATAAAGTACATGTACGGAAAGAAAGAGAGAACGATAAAACAAGCAATAAAATGCTAACAATTGAGCCCTGGCCGGTTTGGCTCAGTGGATAAAGCCTCCGGCTGGGGACTGAAGGGTCCCGGGTTCGATTCCGGTCAAGGGCACATGCCCAGGTTGCAGGCTCGATCCCCAGTAAGGGGCGTATAGAAGGCAGCCAATCAGTGATTCTCCCTCATCATGGATGTGTCTATCTCTCTCTCCCTCTCCCTTCCTCTCTGAAATCAATAAAAAATATATATTAAAAAAAACAATTTAAAAAAACCAACCAATCCGGTAATGTGGGTGAAGGAGTTCTTGTATTATTTCTGTGCAAACTGAAATGCTTTCAAGATAAAAAGTTACAAAATAGAAAGAAAGAAAAGTCAATATCCTGGGGGGAAAAGCAAGAGCGAGGCTGGAGAGCAGTTCGGATTCAAGGAGACTAAACAGACTCGGGCGGGAACTGCAGTGTGTCCAGGCCCCGTGACATTAGTGGGGCCACTGGGGAAGCGCGGGTGGAGAGGGGGGTGCTGGGTGCCAGCGCGGCATCTGTAATTCCCTGGGTGTGGTGGTCATACGAGGGTTTTCAGGACGATGTCCTTGCTCCTCTGCGGTGTACCCTGGGTTTTGGGCTAAGGGTCAAGATGTCTGTAACCCTTTCTGTGGTTCAGCAAAAATACATTTATAGGAAAGAGAAAGCCATGCACTCTAAAGGGGGGAGGGGATTACAAGGGGGTCCATGCTATTTTTCTCAAGGACACACACCTCCCACCCCTGCAGCCAAGGGCAGTGAAGGGCTCTGGGGTGGGTGAGGCCACCCCAGCCTCTGCATCCCCCGTCCCCTCCCCACCTCTTAGCTTTTCTCTCTCTGGCCACAAGATGTCTCCATGGGCCCTACTAGACGGTGGTTTTCATTTGTTAAAGTTTCTTACCGTTTCTAAGATGTGAATTAAACCATCGCCCTGTCTCTCTGACCTGCCGCTCTCTCTCCCCTGGTGTGTGTGCTCTGATGTGCTTCCCCTGGTGTTTTCTGGGGGCTCGCCCAGCCCACTTCGCTGTCCCCGCATGGAATCCCCATGAGAAGGTCTCTGCTGCCCTCTGGTGGCCACTGCCTGGAACTCAGACCCCACCCTCCTGAGGGGCAGAAACCTGAAAGGCTTGGCAGCTTCTCCTCATCAGCCACAGGAGGGTGTTTCCCTTAAGGAACTGGCTCAAGTGATCGTGGGGGCCGGCAGGTGTGAGGCCCAAAGGGCGGCTGGAGCCAGGCAAGAGCCAGCGGGCAGTCTGGAGGCGGAAGTTCTCCCTCCCAGGGAACCTGGGTTTTGCTCCTGTGGTTGTCCGGTGATGGGACGAGGCTCACCCCATTACATCGCCTCTACTTATTAAGTCAGCCGACTGTAGGTGTGACCACGTCCACCAGATACCGTCACAGAAAAGTATGCTTTCCTGCTGATTTCCGACTCCTGCTTTGCTAAGAAAAGGAGTCCACTGTGGCTTCTGAGTGTGTGAGGATGGAATGAATAAACAGCCAGCAGGGCTCTAAGTGCAGCTGTCACAGGGCTGGCCTGGAGATGTTAGTTATTATTGTTATTACTAGAGGCCTGGTGCATGCATTCGTGCACCGGTGGGGTCCATTGGCCTGGCCTGTGCCCTCTCACAATCCGGGACCCCTCGGGGGATGTCAGACTGCTGGTTTCAGCCCGATCCCCGCAGGCCAGGCCGAGGGACCCCACCTCATGCATATGCATCCTTATGTGCATACAGGCCTCTAGTAGGCATATAAGATCTTTGGTTAATCTCTCCCCTTTCCCTCTGAGATACATCAGTCTGTTCCATGTTTCCATGCCTGTGTGTTGAGCGTCTGCCCCCTGTTGGTCAGTGCGCATCATAGCTACCGGTTGAACAGTAAAACGGTCGCTTAGGCTTTTATATAGATAGATGGTGAGAATTACCTGCATGAGTCGATAATTAAGTTAGAGGAAGAGAGACAGGGAGGTCAAAGGAAGGAGGGAGGCAGGGAGAGAGGGTTACTAGTTTCTTATGCCTTTCTTTGAGGTAAAATGTAGATACACGGAAATGTACAAATATTACAATTAGTGAAATGTATTGTATTTAATTAGTACAATTTTATATGTGCTGTTATATTTTCTCCTTTTTGTGTTTTCTCTGTTTTCTTTCTTTTCTAATAAGGAACAGATAGTTTTTATAATAAGGGGAAAAACAATAAAATGATGATACAATTAAGATGCTCCTTTGGGCGGAGGCCCCGTCCCCTCCATTGTGCCACAGGCCTGGAGACTCCCCGACCTCCTCTGTGCTTTCCCACACGCCGTCCTGAGTAACAGGCCTCCTAGGGCCCTGCCTGCCTTTCCCAGGCCCCCGGGGAAGGCCTGTGGCCTCCTGGAAGGAAGGGGGCCTCAGCACTCAGGACCCACAAACACAGCTGGGCCCAGGGCTGAGTCCACCCCAGGACATTGCCCTGTTCCACCTGCAGGGGGAGAGAGGGGGCCTCTCTGGGACTCCCCTGACCAATGCAAGGCTGGGCAGGCCCTCCTAACCCACTGGGAGAGGCTGGCCTGGGGAGGGGTTGTCAGGCAACCAGCCGAGTCTCCTCCCAGGGCAGCTGTGAGTGGCCCCGTTGCCCAGCAACCAGGTGGCAGCGTCCCCTGAGCCAGGACCGTGCAGCTGCGCCCAGCCCTGCCCTGCCCTGCTTCTCACGGGCCTGCAGGACCCCTGGGGCCCTGTGCTTATTCCCCAAGACTGGGACAGCTGGGCCCTCTGGTCACAATGAACATTGTTCTCTTCAGGTAGGTGGCTCTGTACTGGTGCTGCCCTGGCCGGGAGGTGGGAGGGGGCAGGGGAGGCTGGGTTTTCAGGACCCCATGCACGGGGACAGATGGTGCAGCTGGGATTGCTCGATGGGGATGCATCAGGGAGGTGGGGAGTGATGAGAGTGAGCTTTCTTCTGCACCCCACTCACCTCAAGGTCAAAAGAAATCGTCCAGAATATTGCCTCTGTCCACTTCTCCAGCATTCCTGCCCACAGCTCTGAGGAAGCCAATTCACAGGGCCCACCCCCAACTTCCCCTGCTCACCTCCACCTGGAAAACCCCTCCTCATGCCTTAAAGCCCGCCAGGCCTCACCCTCTGTGGGAATGCCCCGACCCCACTCCAGGCCTGACTCTGTCACTGCTCCCTCACAGCTCGCCGGCCCCTTAGCCCGTTGTTCCCACGCCTGCTTCCTCGGAGGGTCCCAAACCCGAGGGTGTCCCTGAATCACCCGATGTACTTTTTAAAAAATGCAGCTTCCTGGGCCTCCCTCGCAGGGATTCTGGTGCACAGATCAGGGCTGGGGGCCTGGGGAACTGCATGCTTAGCTTGTGCCTCAGGTGATTCTGATGGGGGGCGAGGACGCCACCTGCAGAAGCTGATACTGCGGGCGGCTGTGTGACGTGGAGCAAGACGCTTCACCTCTCTGGGCCTCAGTTTACTCGTTTATTAAAAACTGTGATAGTGTTAGTGCCTGGCTTATGAGTAATGCATACGGAGTGTTTTGCAAACTATCAAGTGGTGCACGAGTTAGGGCTTGTTAGATGGAGGACAAGGGGCCCTCACAGTTTCCCGCTTTAGGGGTGTGACTGGAAGGTCACACAGGGGACTTCGGTCCACTGGAGAGAGGCAGCGGGGTCCTGGGGACAGGGACTCAGAGTTGGGGAGCGGCCCGGGTGGGAGGTGAGTGCCTGGGGTGTTTAGGGGAGACTAAATTCAGTGGGGCTGGGGGCTGAGGGGGAAGGATGAGTGGACGGAGCAGCTTTTCAGGGCAGGGGAACTGCACTGTGACACTGTGACTGTGGATGTGGGCAGCGGGCATTTGTCGAAACGCATAGGACGTACAAACAGCACGTGAGCCATGAGCCCTAATGTAAACTATGGCTTTTAGTTAATAACGTATCACTATTGGCTCATCTTTTGTAACAAACGTCCCCCAGTAATGCACGATGTACTAATGCAGCAGTTCTCAACCTGTGGGTCGCGACCCCTTTGGGGGTCGAACAACCCTTTCACAGGGGTCGCCTAAGACCATCGGAAAACACATATATAATTACATATTGTTTTTGTGATTAATCACTATGCTTTAATTATGTTCAATTTGTAACAATGAAATTGGGGGTCACCACAACATGAGGAACTGTATTAAAGGGTCGCGGCATTAGGAAGGTTGAGAACCACTGTACTAATGGAAAGTGTGTGTGCGCAGGGAGAGGGTACCGAGACCTCACTGTACTTTCCACTGGGAACCTAAAACTGGTCTCCCTGAAAGTCCATCCACTTAAACATAAAGCTTCAGTATGTTGAACATAAAGGTTTAGAGAAGGAGAATTTCAACAACTTGGGCATAAGACAGAAAAGAGGGAATTTCAGGAGGAGACCGAGGGAATAAAGAACAACTCTGCCAGGGGGACAAAAGCCCCCTAAAGGGTTGCAGGGCAGGCACTTGGAGCCGAACCCGAGTTGGCGCTCCTGCCTGGCCACTGGCCGGCTCTGTGGCCCAGCGGGACTCCCGCATCTGCCTCGATGGGCTGACACCTGACCTTGAGGGCTGCCCCAGGGACAGGCGCCTGCCAGGGCGCTTGCCACTAGGACGAAGGTGATGGTGGGGGAGCCTGTGTCCTGCCCAGATGCCCCCTCAGGCCCCCACCTCCTCAGGGACAGCCAGGTGAGGGCGATGGAGAGCACAGTGACCAACGCCGAGAAGTACTTCGGCCGGTTCTGCTCGCTGCTGGCCGCCTACACCCGGAAGACAGCCCGGCTGCGGGACAAGGCCGACCAGCTGGTCAAGCAGCTCATCGACTTTGCCAACACGGAGAACCCCGAGATGCGGGCCACCATGAGGAACTTCGCCGAGGAGTTGGCCAAAGTGCAGGACTACCGGCAGGCCCAGGTGAGGCAGACGGGGGTGGGGGCAGGCCCAGGTGAGTGGGCTGCAGAGGCCCCAGGGCCAGAGCGAGGGTGGGGTTAGAGGGTGGGGCCAGCCCTGCAGGGGCCACAGCCAGGGACATCTCCTCCCTGGGTGTGGGGGGCCACACCTCCATTTACAGGGCTAAGAACAGGAGGCTTTTGGGGGCTGGATGAGTGGTGGACAAGGCCAGAAGGCCCAGGAGGCCGGTCCTGAGTCCTGCCGCTATGAGCTCCTGAGGCCCAGGCAGGAGGCGCATCCCGGGGCCCAGAGGGCCGGGAGAAGGGACAGACAGCCTGGGGGCTGAAGCCAAGGAGACTGCAGCATATTAGGAAAATAATTAAAAATAAAAATCTCCTACCAACCCCCAAAACTCCTCTCCGTGATTACAGAAAAGAACAAAGCAGCTTTACTACTAAATGTGCATTAAACCAGACATGCAGGTCACAGGGGATCGGATCAGTGATGGGAAGACAGACAGAACCTCAGCCCGTCAGCCAGGCAGCGGGGCCCGCCCAGGCGCGATCCGGGTTCTCCGGGAGGGATACCTGGTCCTGGGCGAGGGCGCTCAGCACCTTTGTCACACAGGGTTTCCTGGTTGCACCTGGGGGCTGGGGGGCACCTGTGCCAGCTGATGGTCTTTACCCAAAGGGAAGTCTCCCGTTTCATGACAAGCAGGGGGTCACCGCTTGGAGCGGGTACCAGGGCCGAACTCAGAGAGGATGTCTCCATTTCAAAGACAAGACTGCCTTCTGGGTCACAAGACCCACAAGAGGCCTCTTTAGCTTTGACAAAGGGTTAGATGCATCTCAAAGGGATAGAGAACCGATTCTCAATGGCAGGTTTCCTAAAGAAACGCTTTCAGGACAGGGAAGGGAAGTCCCCTGCCCTGTTGGCTGTGGAAATGGTTTCTTAGATTTGTGTTTATCCTCACGGGGTCACAAGCCTCAGTGAAGGCGAGGAAGGGCCTGTGGGGAGTGCAGCTCCCCTGGCCCGTGGGGAGCCAGGTGCACAGGGAGCCCATCCTCAGGGCAGCAGCCTCCCTGGAAACGTGTTAGAAATGCAGGTTCCCAGGCCACCCCTGGACCTGCTGAGTTGGAATCTCTGGGGTGGCGCCTGGCAATCAAGGTTCCCAGGAACCCGTGGGGGCATCCGAGGCCCACTCTAGGGTGCCATGTCTTGATTCTGAGCAATGCTGGGCACAGGGTAAGCACTGAACGTCAGCTTTAATTGTGATTGTCACCATTGCTGATATTGTTTATTAAAGTGTCTAGTGTTAGGCTGGACTCAGGGGTGTGAGGCGTCCCCTTGCCGACCCTGCTGTGTTCTAGGGTCAGCTCTGCATCCCAAATGAGATCCTAAGGCAGTTTGGAGAAGTAAAATAGCGACAGGTCCCATTCCTGTATCCATCCCTGGTGGGTACTGTCATTATACCCATTTTACAGGCACGGAAATGAGGCTCAGCAAGATGAAATGTATTGCCCAAGCCCTAGAGAAGCAGAGCCCTGAACCCAGGCTGTTGGTCGCAGCCCTAGGGTGAGGGAGGGCACCCGTGCTCCCCTGCCCCCTGCAGGCCCACCTGCAGCTCTGTGTGTGTGACGACACTATGCATGCAGGCCGGAGGCGGCATCGTCTCCTGGCATCTCCCTGGCTCCGTCCATTCTGATTCTCTGTGTGTCTGTGCTCCCCAGGTTGAGAGGCTGGAGACCAAGGTGGTCACCCCCCTGAAATTCTATGGGCCTCAGATAAAGCAGACGCGGGTGAGTGAGGGCGCTGCTCTGCGGGGTGCGGAGTGTCAGGGGCTGGCCGAACCAGAGCCCCAGAAAACAGCTCTCCTTCTTCCTTTAGGCCGAGATCAAGAAATGCAAACATATTCGGAATAATGAGATCAAACAACTGGAAAAGTTGGAGAAACTGAGGCAGAAGTCACCTTCGGATCGGCAAATGATCGTATCCTCCCCGGCGTCTGGCCTCGGGGCCAGGATTACCGTCTGTCATGGGCGCCCTCTGGTGGGGGCTGCTGGTTAGCCTGTCTCCTTAACACCTCTCTCAGTCCCAGGTGAGAGTCCCAGGCCTGTCTGGGGAAGGTAGATCGCACGCAGGTAATGAAAGACCTCACACAACGGCGAGGTGAGCTCTGCCCTGGGCAGGTGTGTGCCAGGCTCCGGATAGAAAAGTCAGGGGCCGGGGGGAGCCTGGGGGCCAGGAGCCCTGGGGTCTGTCCACCACTGACACGAAGCAGCCGCTCAGCAATCACCCCCTTCTCAGGTCACCTATTTAGCACTCACTCGGGTAGGCACTTCCAGATGAGGAAACCGGGCTCAGCAAGGTGACTTCCCAAGGTCACCAGGAACGAACGGGGAAACCTAAACTCAGTTGAGGGCCCTCTAAAACCCAGGCTGCGCCTGTGCGAAGTGGGGTCATACAGAGGTCAATCAAAGGAACCCAGGAATTAGTTAATTACCTTGAGGATGTTCCACATGCAGGAATTAATTATTCTCCACGTGGAGCACCTGTGATAACAATAGCTCAGCGCGTGCCCACTGCTTACTTCTTACAACGGCCCTGGGAAGTCGGTCTCATCGCTGTGCCCTGTTCACAGGCAAGGACACGGGGACTCAGAGAGGTTGAGTGACTTGCAGGAGGTCACGCAGGCAGCCAGTGAATCCGGCTAAGCAGCGCCTGCCCCTTTAGCCAGGGTCCTACTCGGCCAGTTCCTCGATGACCAACTTGTCTAGGGACCCCTGAGGCGGGAGAGCTGGCCAACCAGCAGGGCGAGAGGATCCAGACGGAAGCTCCCTGACACCGTCTGTCTCGGCAGGCAGAGACCAGCGTGCAGAAGGCCTCGGTGGACGCCAGCCGCACCACCCACCAGCTGGAGGAGACGGTTGACGCCTTCCAGACGCAGAAGCTGAAGGACCTGCAGGTGGGGCGGGCTGCCTTGTTTGTGCTGCGAGCAAGTGTGTGTATGTGTATGTGTGTGTGTGTGTGTGTGTGTGTGTGTGTGCCTAGAGAGTGTGCGCATGTGTGAGTGTGTGTTACCTTGTGCCCGCTCAGCTCCCGGCACAGTTAATCCCAGCCTAATCCTGGCCTCGGGGCAGGAGGCCGGCTGCTCTGGGCAGCTGTCCCTCACAGCTGGCCTGCTCAGTAGCCAACATTCGGCAGCCCTGCCCCTCAACACCCAGGCCCAGCTCCCCACCAGGAGAACTTGGCAGAGTGTGTCACCCCCAACCCCCTTTCTTTCCACACAAGGACCCATAGGACTTGCCCTGACTTCCTCCTTTTCTCCATGAGGTTCTAAATGCCTTCCTCCTTCCGCCCTGATGCCACCCCAGTGCAGCCCAGGACCGTGGACCCAGAGCCCAGCTCTTACATAGGGCCTCCGGGCATTGGGGTCTGAAGGACAAGCTGATCACACAGGCCCCTGCATTCACTTGACCCCCCCTCTAGTCCATTTTCCAAACTAGCCTCGAGGATCTCACCAAAGACAGCCCCAATCTGTCACCCCCAGGTTCAACACCCTCCTGTGACTCCCCTGGTTCCAAGGAGAAAGGCCTAGATCCTCCCCAAGGCTGCAGAAGCCCCAGCCCCGCCCCCAAGCTTCATCATAGACATTCCATTCCAAGTTCAAGTGCACCCGGCCCCTTGTACCACAGCTTTGCACAGGCTCCGCCCACTGCCAAGAAGGCCTTTGACTCTCAGGGAAAGTTGCCTGGACTCCCAGACCAGTCCAGCCCCATTCTATTTTTTAAAATATATTTATATTGATTTCCGAAAGGAAGGAAGAGGGAGAGAAAGAGAAACATCACTGGTAAGAGAGAATCATTGATCGCCTGCCTCCTACACTCCCCCTACTGGGGATCGAGCCCGAAACCCAGGCATGTGCCCTGACCAGGAATCGAATGTAACCCCCTGGTTGGTGTAACCACTGAACCACGCTGGCCAGGTTCCAACCTCGTTCTTAATACACTCTGGTCTGCTCCCTCTGGGGGCAGTTAGCCCAGGGACAGATTAATTATATCTTTAGTTTACTCCTTAATCTAACAAATGTTCAGTACACACCTACTATGTGCCAGGTGCTATGCCTGAGGCTGGGGACACCACAGCCAGAAAAGCAAGGCCCCTGTCCTCATGGGGTTGACATCCTGCCCCGCCACAGGCCCCCCATGCCGCATGCCATTCACCGGGGAGGGGAGAGTGTGGTGGAGAACTTGCTGCCCCATGCCTGCCTCCCACACCACAGGTCCACAGGGCAGAACCCCTGCCTGGCTTGTGGCCTGCTGGGTCCTGGACGGTACTCAGTAAATGTTTGGGAAATGAGTAAACAAATGAGCCAACAGTGGTAGTTAGTGCTCAAGCATGTACGTTGCAGGCAGGACTTAAGCCACCAGCTGGCCATTATTAAGCACCTGATGTTTGCGGCCTGAAAACAGGGCTCTGTAAGGCGCCAGCGAGAGCACGAGATTCTCAGCCTCCCTCCCTGGTCAGGGGCCACCACAAGCTGCAGTTTAAAGTGGGCATCCTTTAAACTTCCGGGGTCAAGTTGGTAAGGGACACTTAACCAAGCCACCCCCAGAAGCCCTCCAAATTTTCTAAAAAATCATTCTTTTTTTTTATTATTGATTTTTTTTTACAGAGAGGAAGGGAGAGGAATAGAGAGTTAGAAACATCGATGAGAGAGAAACATTGATCAGCTGCCTCTTGCACACACCCTACTGGGGATGTGCCCGCAACCAAGGTACCTGCCCTTGTCCGGAATTTAACCTGGAACCCTTCAGTCCGCAGGCCGACACTCTATCCACTGAGCCAAACCGGTTAGGGCACCCCTCCAAATTTTAAGAGATAAACATCCAGAACTTAAAATAATGATAACCACCGTGTTGGTTTTAGGTCACACTTCTAATAAAATGATCAGATTTCCTCTCCAGCCCCCCTAAAAGAACATCAGTAACACTTTCATACAGGGGTTCCCATACCTGAGCATGCGTCCGAAGTCACCTGGTGGGCTCCTGACACCGCAGAGCAGCAGCCTGGCCTGGGTTCCACTCCGTGGGGCTGGGTGGGCCAGAGAACTGGCATTTCTGACAAGCTCCCGGATGGGGCTGGTGCTGATGCCAGAAGCAGACTGAGAGCTAATTGAATCCTCGTGGGGCTCTGTGAACAGGACTGCCCTGTCCCTACGGTGCAGAAAAATAAACTGAGGCTGGAGAGGATGTCATTCCCTAGGCCCCAGGCAGGATGAGGCTGCGACCCGCCTCTTGATGCTCAGCTGCCATCACCAGCCTGCCTGCCAGGGGCAAGAGGGGAGGAGGCACGTAATCCCACCAGCCTTGGGACACTCTCCTCGTCATCTCCCAGGCTGCCTTGCGGGCTTCCTCTGGCCTGCCTCTCCCAGGTGCTTCCCATGTTACCTGAAGTGGTGTGTTTCCAAACTTCAGGCTCCTTCCCTGACACCAAGCCTGTGTCCTGCTAGGGCCCTGCACACAGTAGGAGCTTGTGGTAGGCCCCAAGCACAAAGGAGCCTCTGCTGGGGCCTGACACACAGTAGGAGTCTCCTCTCCGGCCTGGCACACAGTAGGAGTTTGTACTAGACACTGCACACAGTGGGAGCCTCCACTGGGGCCAAACAGGCAGTAGGAACTCTAAAAGAGCTTACTGAGACAAGCTGAACCTTTTGATCAAGAGAAGCCAATATCTAATTACATTTAATGTGGTAACTCGTCAGGTTGTGGAGCCTCTGGGCTGAGCCATGTCTGCCAGCAACACCCCTCCCTCTCCCGGAAGACCCCCTCACAGCCCAGGGGTGGCAGAGGCTGAAGGTTTGTGGCCATCAACCTCAAAAGCCGAGTGAATGAGCCCAGGGTGCAGAGCTGAGGAAAGGACGCCCCTCAGCGAGTCCTCACTGAGAAAGGAGGCCTCCGCATTTCTGGAATAAGCTCTGTGCACGGCAGCTTTTGAATGGGAATGCATTGTCTGTTCCAATAAATTAAAAATAACATTGACCCAGGACCCATCCCCATAAAGACTGATGCCTCCTCGCCCCCCAGGTTGTCCACATGTGAGGTGACCCCGGGCTCCCCTTTTGACAGTGTTGCTTATGCGATTCGCACTTCCCTCCCCACAGAAAATTTTTTCGGACTTCGTGACCATTGAGATGGTCTTCCACGCCAGAGCGGTGGAGGTGTATTCCAGCGCCTTCCAGACGCTGGAGAACTACGACCTGGAGGGGGATCTGCAGGTGGGTCCCAGGTGCCGGCTCTGGCTGGTGGCCTGGGCTGAATTCGATTTGGGTTCTGTCTTGATAGAAGCGGTTTTTGTTGGCAACGTTTTGTAATTTTTATCGTTTGAAAGACTCATTCTGATGAACTGTTGTAAACACCTGCCCCTGGGTCCCAGTTTAAAAACAAGCAAACGAATCAACAATGACAACAAGCCTCTCCAGGCCGATGCGCGCTGCTGTCTGGGTGTTCACCAGGTGCTGGCTACCCGTCTGAGCTGACAGAGATCGCGCCTCCTCTGTGGCCTATGACAACGGCCACTCCCCGGGGTGTAAATACAGTCACCTGTCCTGGTCCCTGGTGGTCCTGGGGTTGGTGAGCGCCGCTGGTGAGCGCTTGGGCCTGTGGTCAGTTTTCAATCAGGCGTAGCGGGGTTGGATCCCTGTCCAAGGCTGGCTCGCCCACGTCTGGCAGCTGATGGTTGTCATCTGGGTACAGGACAGGCCACGGGAGTTGCAGAGCTCAGTGCAAAATGAAAACGTGGGCCATGCTGTCCAACAGTTACTAAGAGTTTCCCGATGGCAACAGTGGGTTCCTTCTGAGCGCAGGGCCCTGGACAACTGCAGGAGCCACACACACGAAGCCCTCCCTATCTGGGTCCTGGGTGGGTCCCAGAGCCCAAAGACCTGCCCGTGGCCTCTCTGGGTGGCGTGGCCTCCTTACAGCATGGCGGCTGGTCCCGGAGCCAGTGTTCCTCCCGGGACCGAGCCAGGAGGAAACTCACCTTTGGTGACCGAACCTTAGAAGTAACTTAGTGTCACTTCCCCTGCATTCTGTTTAGAAGTGAGTCACTCAGGCCACATTCAAGGGGAGGAGGATTGCATTCCAGCTCCTAGTGGGAGACATGTCAACGAATGTGTAGAGGCTTTAAAACCACCACATGAGGTTAGAAGCAGATCGGACGGGCTCTCCTGCACTCACTCATCCCTGTGATACTCCTGTGGCGGGAGAGTGAGCTCTAATATTCCTGTGTGAATCTGGACGTGTACTAGCCTCTGGGCCTCAGTTTCCCCATCTGTAAAACGGGGTGGGAACGCGGATTGTTGTAGGTGGCATAGAATACTGAACAGGAGGTTCCCAGAGAGGTCGGTGCGGGTGGGGGCTCCGTCGGTGTTAGCAGTGCCCCACCATCTTCCCACTCTCACCCCCAATCTTTGTTTCCCCATTGGATCTAACCCACCTGAGTCTCTCCCTGGCAGGATTTTAGAGCCAAGATGCGCGGAGTTACTGGGTACAGTGATGCCCGGCCCCGCAGGGACATCGCTCCCTCCGCAGCTGTTCCATGGTCTCGCTCCTGCCAGGTGAGCACGGGAGTGGGGCGGGGGGTGGGGGGGGGGTGCTGTCAAACCTGTGACAAAGCGAAGTCTGAGAACATGGGTTTGAAAGGAGACGCTGAGAAGGAGGCGCCGCCAGCAAGTCTGACATGGACTTGCCTGGAAAAGGAGTCAATAAAGCAGGGAGCCCAGCGGTGCTGCTGCCACGTGTCCCGCGCGCCCCCTAGAGGCACTCTGCAGAAATGCACTTGGGAAGCCAGGGCTCTGGATGGTCTTCTGAGTATTAACCAAGTAGCTTAAGACTGGAAGCCGCCTCCTGCCAATAGGATAGGTTCAGCCACCCAGCGGGTGGGGGTGAGGGGGACAGAGGGTGTCTCTTGCTTTCTGAATCATTCTCCCCAAAGGCAGCGGAGGAAGTATGGCCCCAGCCAGGCCGACTGGATCCAAACCATTGCTCCCAAGCTATGGGAGTTCCTTAACCTCTCTGTGCCTTAGATTCCTCACCTGCCGAGTGAGGCTGATAACAGTCCCCCCTTCATAGGGCTGTGGTGAGTGTTAGGTGAACAAATCTATACAAAACACTTAGAAAATGCTCAATACGTGTGGCCATCGTTGTCATTGATGGTCAATTATGATCATCGATGTTGCTGTGATGATGACGATGGTTATTACTTAGAGCACCCAGAGCACCATGCGCAGCCAGAGGAAAGAAGAGGCGGCGAGTGAGGACGACTTCGCTGAGGAGGACCTGGAGGAGGAACTCAGGGGCTGGGCTAGGGACTCCATCAATGGGACCAGAACTTCCAAGTTAGAAAACTAGGGGCCGGCCCTGGATGTTTGGGGGGCCTCTGCTGTGTGTCCCTGGCGAATCACATGTCCTCTGAGCTTGTTTCCTCATCTGCACAACAGGGACGGTATCACCCGCCTCCCAGGTGCCCTGGGGTTCAATGTGCCCAGCATGGCACCTGGTGCATAGTAGGTGTTCAATAAACAATGGGGGCATCCCGACCTGACTCGTGCTGACTCTCATTTCCACTATGACCTGGGAACCCGAGTGTTTAAACCCTGTGTGTGTGTTGGAGTCCAAATTCCCTCTTTTTGTAAGGACGCCAGCCCCACTGCCCTATTCAGTATGACCCCATCCTCACTAATTACAAGTAAGAGTCTATTTCCACTTTCGGAGGCCCTGGGAGTTAGGACGTCAACATGTAAGTTGATTCATCCCATAACACATGAACATGGTGTGCAGGGATGACCTTGGGACTGGGGGACACATCACAGAAGTCCAGGGAAGTGGAGGGGCGATGCAGGTCAAGGGAGGGGTGGGCACATGATTTTCTCTCAGCAAGAGGAGAATGCAACACTTTACTCATGAAATCATTGCAGGACTAACATCCTCACCACAGTGATTGTATTACCCGAAGTCCAGCTCCCTGGCACCTCCTCAGGGAAGCCCACCCTGATTCCACCCAGAAGGACATTCTAAAAATAACTAGAGCATTCTAAATTTTCTATATAATAGGTAACTTATAAAATAACATTTTCATAGATTATATTATATAGTATATATAGTCACATTTCGACTATATCTTTTATCTTATACTTGATACTATAAGCATATATATCAGTGATGGCGAACCTTTTGAGCTCGGCATGTCAGCATTTTGAAAAACCCTAACTTAACTCTGGTGCTGTGTCACATATAGAAATTTTTTGATATTTGCAACCATAGTAAAACAAAGATTTATATTTTTGATATTTATTTTATATATTTAAATGCCATTTAACAAAAATCAACCAAAAAAATGAGTTCACGTGTCACCTCTGACACGCGTGTCAGAGGTTCGCCATCACTGATATATATGTACACACATACACACACACACATACACACATATAAATGTACTTTTTAAAAACTTCAGTTGTGCCCCAACCCCACTGATGAATAAGTTGCTTATTCATCTGGTAGTCCTGGAGCCTGGTGGTGCCTGGCACATAGTAGGTGCTCATTAAATAAGTTGACTGCCTAAGGGACCTCTCCCCTTCCCCTCTGGCCCCAACATACCCAGAGAACAACGGTTCTAAGTACAGGGTTGGACAGTTGGCTAGAGTTTTCCTTGTCACCATCTCCTTGGGGGTCACTTGCAAACTGGCAACAAAACTTCTAACTTCTCTCTTTTGGGGCCCCAGGTAAGAGGTGGGGTGGGCAGGGCCGGAAGCAGCATGACTCCAGGGTCTCCCTGAGCCACTGGATCGGGTGGCCTTCCTCCCTCTGCATCCCTTGCCTTCCCCTCCTCCTCCCTGAGCAAACTCCCCCCGTTGTTCCCCAAGCAACCTGTGCAGATGTCTGAGTAAGGGGGAAAGAGAGAGCCACAGCCACTCCTCATGCCATGAAGAAATGCCTGCAAGAGTAAGGCCCTGGTCCCAGGTACGGGAAGAGGTGAGAGGCCTCTTCAGAGCACCAGAGCATCTGGGGCTGAGGCAGGAGAACTGGAGGCCCTCGGCCGACAGGATCAGCACGAGTCTGAGGGAAAAGCCATCACTCCGAGTTCTGGAAGTGCGAGTGCAGCTTTAAGCTTTGCTAAAGTCAGTAAAAGGTTGCAACTTGCATAAAACACCATTTGAAAGCTTGTTTAAATGCCTTTTCTATTTAGTTTGTGAATTTTGAATACTACATTTTAAATTAGTTCCTATAAACTTTAAACAGAAATCTTTGGTTCTTTTCCTTTAATGGGTAGGACCCTTCCCATGGGTATGCCTCCCATCAGGAAAATGAGGGATCGGGATCGGATTGGATGGTGATAAGCACAACTCCGCCATTTGCAAAGGGCATTTGCATAGACTGCATTTGGTTCTTACAGGAGCCTTCTAGGATAGGTGACGACTTCCTTCCCATTTCACAGATGAGGACACTGAGGACTAAACAATGATTTGGCGGAAAGTTATGGGGAAGGTGGAACAGGACCTGGACCCCCACCCTGCCCCGCTCTGCGGGGTCCCGCTGTCCATCAGAGGGGTCCTTCCCCTTCCCTGGAGTTGCCTCTGAATCTAGCCCTGAGCTAATCCTGCTGGTGGGATCCTCCTAGCCCTAGGTTAAACGTCAGGTGTGATGTCCAAGCTGGGGCATCCGCCATCCAGGCTGTCCCTCCACGTATGACTAAGAGGGGCTGGGGTCCTCAAGACTGGGTGGGAGAGCTGGGCATGTGGAGGTTGGCCCCACCCCACTGAGCAGGGAGCATACCCAGCCCCTGCCACAGTGTGGGGAACCATCTGCCCTAGGCCCCTCAAGCCCAGCTGCTGTTTCAGGCTTCGGTACCAAGGCCTCCTTCCCCAGGCCCTTCCCTCTCCTCACTTCACCTCCCAGACCTGGTTGGGCCAGAGCCTTAGAACGAGGCTACTGACTTCTTATAATTAGAAAAAACAAAAGCCCAAGTATTTCACAAAATGCACCTGTCAAGCCAAGTTGGAAAGGACCAATAAAGGCCTCCTGTTTGTATCAGGCAAGAGTTGTCATCAGTTCCCATTACAGCCCCTCAAACCCCCAAATGCAAGAGGCAAGCAGCTTGGCTCAGAGGAAAAGCGGGATTAGGATTCCAGCTGGAAGGGGCTTGAGGCATCCTGGAGGCCCTGGCTTGAGGTCCAGTCCAGGTGGGGCCACTCCATTCACTAGGACATACCCCCAAGTGCCCAAACCCACAGCTCCAGGCTCCTTATCATCCAGAGGAACCTCCTCTTCTTAGCATTTCCCATGACACACACATCTGGACAAGACCTGAACGCTCACCCTAAATAGTGACAACATCTGTTTGACTCCAGAAGAAAAGTTATCTTCTGAAAAGCCTCTGATATCACCGAGAAGATTGCACATTTCTCAGGGATATGTGAAACCAGCAACCAGACAGACTTTTTCTTCAATGACAATTTATTTCAGTTTCCACCTTCCGACAATCCGAGGTGCAATGTACAGACATTCTTTCTCCTCCCAGCAAGAAGCAGTGCTTGACTTCAGCACATTCTGAGATCCTCACCGTGAAACTCTCTCAACCTTAAAATACAGTTTGCAGAGCATCACCCGGTGGGACACACAGTGAAACTGCAACACGTAGAAGACCCGCACCCTGAACGCCACCTTTAGCTTCTAAAGGTGATGGCCAGGCGCAAGCTTAGGTCTGAGACAAACTGGGTGAGAGAGAAAACAGAGACTGCGCGCGTGTAAACCCCACCCGAGGCCCAATGGAAGCCACGTGCATCACAAAGGCGGCCGATGTTCTAACCCACGTCAGGTTCTCAGGGGTCGTGTCTGTTGTTTGAAATACTGGCATTTTCTAGTGTCAAATGTTTGTCCTGTCTTTAAGGTGTCCCTGGGAAGTGACAGCCCCGGGCTCGCTCATGATCTCACTGTCTCCATGACAGGACCCCACCCATCAGGCCTCGTGTGGAACCGCCATGCACATCCCATGTCCCGTTCTCCTTGCACGAGCACATGGCCCAGGGCCCAGGGGAGGACAGGCACAGCCCCCCCATCCTAGGACTGACCACAGGACAGAGGGATTCACCAGCAGGAGTCCTCTTTATGGTTAAAGTGCAAACCGCAGTCAGGGGCAGCTCAGAGGAGCTCCAGGCTACGGGGCTCAGGTCTGACTGGCCTTGTCAACACCTGGAGCCTGCAGGTCAAGCCAGGATCGGCTCCCCTGTGGCAGATGCCCCGAGAGAGCTGTGTGTGTAAGTGATGGGAGGGGCAGGCCCAGACCATCCCGCTCGCTCCTGAAAATGATGAGTTTCCCACAGCAACCAAGAACCGGGCACTGGGAGCACTGCCCACTTGAATCCTGGGGTTCCACTCACCAGCTGGCTGCCTTGGGGACACAGGCTGACACCAGGTTGGTTGCCCAGGGAACAAAGGCTGGCCCCCGGGGGCTCCTTCCATCCCTCCTGAGGAGCACAAGACGCACAGGCCCAGGAAGGGCAAGGGACACCCCGCCCAAGGGAGGCCCCAAGAGCCTGCCTTGTCTCAGCATTGGCTGTATTCGCTGGGTGTGAGCCACCTGGAAATGATTCCTCCGTCTGTTCCTGGAGAACCAACACGCTCCTACTCCCGGCCACATGGGGGTAAGGACGTGCGGACGCATGGCCCGTGTGGCTGAGTAAGCCTGTCCTGCTGGGGCCTCAACACCGCACACCAGTCCATACACCTTCCCTTCACCGGGAGGCTTGGCGGAAAGCCGTTCAAGTAAAACATCCCCGAGAATCATGAAAAGGAATAAAGGATTTACAGAAAAGCAAGGTGGGACGGCCAAGCTGTGAGAGCAATGGTTCAGGAGAACCAAAGGCGGGGAAGGTGAGGGAGGAGGCGAGAAGAATAAGCCTTGGGGCAGTTTCATCTACGGTTGAGGAAGGTGAGAGATTAGCCCTAGACCAGCGGTCGCCAATCAGTGGTCCGCGGACCACTGGTGGTCCATGAGGTCCGAAAGGTTGGCGACCGTTGGTTTAATGAAACCTTTGGACCTGCTGGGCGTGGTGGGCGGGACTTGCTACACCCGTCTCCTTAGGTTGGGGCTGGGCCTCCGGCCCTTTCCCTGATTCCCAAGCTCCCCCAGTTATGGGCTAAGGACTCAGCCCCCTGCTGCATAGCTGTCTTAAGTTTTGGGTAATTTGGCAATCAAGCTGGCCTAACCATGGGTCTACCTGGCTACTCCCTAATTAAAAAGCCAAAGGTTAGGGCCCAGTAATGCCCAGGAGGGCCAGGCTTGCAGCTTGTGGCCCTAACCCAGGGGTGGGCAAACTTTTTGACTCGAGGGCCACAATGGGTTCTTAAACTGGACCGGAGGGCCGGAACAAAAGCATGGATGGAGTGTTTGTGTGAACTAATATAAATTCAAAGTAAACATCATTACATAAAAGGGTACGGTCTTTTTTTTTTTTAGTTTTATTCATTTCAAACGGGCCGGATCCGGCCCGCGGGCCGTAGTTTGCCCACGGCTGCCCTAACCTCAGGTCACGAACACCCAGGCCAGACAAAGCCCATGGCCGACTCCTCTGTGGACTGAATGCTGTGCTTCTCACATCAGGAGGCTGGTGGTACATTAACCACATAAAACAGTCCGTGAAAGAGCGAACCTCCGGCTGCTGCCCTGTAGCCACATGAATCCGTGGTCTCCCTGGGCATGGGGAGGCGAGAGCAGGACCCACAGGTGGTGCCTCTGACTCCCGCCCTGGCCTCTGCCCGACATCCCCGGGGCCCGCAGGGTTAACCCAAACACCCAGGCCCTCATTTTGGTGCAGAACTAAGAAGTGACGCCTTTCCCAGCCCTTTTGTAATGTCAGAGCCCCTCGGCCCACTTGTCTTTCCTTTGGCAATAGGTCAGTCTACTCATCCCACTGTACAAAGTACTTCAATATCAGAATTTGGCTCTCCTCCCTTTGGTTACACACACACACACACACACACACACACACACACCACAGTTGCAGTCCGAATACTAATGTGGCCCCTCTTAAACACCCACCAGTATTGCAAAAACTATAACAAAGCTTAAAAACATACAAGGCTGCATTTCAACCTCCCAGTTTTCCAAGGAGGGAACATCTCACTTGCGAGCATTACGTGTCTGGGCTCACTATGACTCAGCCCGAGGGCAGCCAGCAGAAGAGCTGGCTGCACTGCGAATGGCAGGCCTGCGGAGCCCCAGCCTGGGAAACTGCTCCTGCTGGGGCCAGAACCTCTCTCCTTGGACTCCATCGGAAGCTTCCTGCTCCGAGGCAAAGGCTCCCGAGTTTACAGGAAGGGCTCAGAGCTCTATGACCAAAGCGTCCTGTGTGTGCACTGGGTGGGCCAGCTCCTCGGTTGGGCCTCGGAGAGTGCGCCCTGTGTTTGCTCCTCCCAGGGCCCCTCTCCTCTGCTCTGCCAGGCCCTGGAGAGAAGGGACGATGTCACAGGGAGGAGAGGAAACTCCAGTGAGGCAAGCTGCCAGCCTCCTTCTAAGGAGCCGCTCCTGCAGGAGGCAGTCCGAGGCGAAATGCTCGGCCAAAGGCAGCTGCCAACGGGAGACAGAGCAGCCTCCCATCCCCTCGTCGGGCCACGCCAAGGCCATGCCAAGGAGGGCCCACGGTCTTGGCCAGCGCTCCCTTGTGGGGCTGAACCTGACAGGCAGCACCTCTGGGGCCAGACTTACCCCCCTGCGAGGAGCGCGATCTATGAGAACAGGAGTGAGAGGGGAACACAAAGCAACCCTTCCTTCCACCTTCAGCTGCCATCTCCAGGGGCCTATTGATTAAAAGTATCTCCAGATCATCTGGGAATTAAAGTGTGTGGAAAAGCCCACAGAGGCCAAAGCTGCATTTCCTTCCGAAGGCCGTGTGCTCCCGCCCCACCCGGCAGCTCCCTGGGAAAGTCTCCGAATGCACCGTCTTCCTCCAGAAATCAGCGCAAACCAAAGCTTCCACACAAACACCTCAGAGCACAGGGATGAGTCCTCGGGGCGTCTTGAAGTCTTAATGCATCTCAGCTAACTGCTAAGAAACGGCTGCTAAAGCCAAGCCAGCAAGCTGAGGGGCCTCCCGCAGCCCTGCAGGGCTCGGACCGACCACAGGGAGCCCCTGGTCTTACAGAGGGTGGGGAGGGGCACAGCAGCACATCCAGGGCTCAGGGCTGAGTGGTTGAGGGGGATGCATTACCTGAGGGAGGCCTTGGAGAGGGGGTGCACACACCCATCCATTCTGTCATTCCTCCGAAATGCACTCGTAGAGACACGTGCCATCACTGGGGCCCAGCAGTGGGGCTGAGGGCGGGACACGCCAGCCTGCACGACCTTCCAACACACGGCAGGCAAACCAGCAGCACAGCTGTGCTTAGTGACATCGCCAGAGCAGCTGATCACACACTCACACACACACACACACACACACACACACACACACACACACACACAAGCTCTTTCGGCTGACATTTACGCCACACACTCAGACCACACGTTTCACGGGGCTTCTCATGATTATCCAGACGTGCGTTCAATGGCTCCACCAACACCGGCTCTTCTCTGGAACCTTCCAGGGAGGCATTCCATCAGGAACCCATTCGAGCACTGGCTGGATACGTGACTACCAGGCATGATCCACTGTGCTCGAGAGCAGACAGTAATGTGCTGTGGTTTCGAGCTGGAGGAGGTAGTAGGGAAAACAGGACGGGGACAGAGAGCCCCAGGAGCCCATTTGAAGGTCAGTGCCCATGAGTGATGGGCGGGCGGCATAGGGAATGAGGCTGAGAATTCCCACTGGAGGAGCCAGCATGCCGGACGCTTGCAGGCCGGACTTTAGCGCGCTTGGCTGGTGTGCTGTGCCTGGTACACACTCAGGGAGGAGCCTGCTTCCCAGGCACCGGATGGGGGAGGGGTCATCTGCAGGGTCTGCAGGAAAGAGCTCAATGGGGCCTGGGCTGCAGCAGGGAAAGGCGCCTCCCCGAGGCTGCCAGGGGTGGAGGGCCCAAAACCCTGAAGCTCTCTGCTAGCGGGCCTCACACAACCGCCACCAGGAGCCGCCTGTGCCCGGCTGTGTAACGCCTTTTCCCTTTTTTGAAATAAAGAGCAGCACTTTTAGAAAGGGCGGTTGTCTTGCAGCTACTGAAGAAATCTCTTTCCTGTGCTGTTTCCTGGGACAGACGGCCGAGGCCACTCCCAGCGAGCAAGAGGAGGAAGCTGCCAGCTGACCAGGAACAGTTCCGACGGCGACGCAGACTCCTCGCTGGGGTGATAGCTGCGGGGACCTCTCCAGGTGCTCCACACTGACTGTGGCCAGGCCCTCTGCGCTGGCCTCTCTCCCTCCCTAAATTAGAACCTCCTCGAGGTTCCTGTGACTCGGCGGGAGGAGCCAGGAAAAGCCAGCACCAGCGTGGACCTACACTGAGAGGGCCCCCGCCCGCCACACGCTGCCGCTCAGCAGGAGCCGACTAGGATTCTGCCCTGCCCAGGCCTGAAGCAGAGCCTGGACCGTCTCCCAGCTGCCGTGTCAGTCGTGGCCGGCTCGGGGCTGCCCTCTGTACATTCCCACGCACCCCCTCTCCTGCAGGGGCTGTGGGCAGACACTGCCCTGTGCCCACCCTGGTCCTGGCCTCCTTCCTCTTCCTTCAATTCCACGTCGCAGGCCTGGCACTGGGGAGGGTGGACGTCACCTCATTCTAGTCACGCAATCCAGGGACACTTTGGCACGTGAACGGGGAAGTAGACATAGGCAGAGGGGGTGGGGGGGCGGGCAGCCGGGGTCTTCTAACCGCTAGTTCTGGGGCAGCGTGGGGTGGCGCTGGGTGCTGCCGATGTCATGCAGGGTCATCAGGTGGGTGACAGCCAGTCGCTGGCCCAGGAGAGCGGTGCCCCCGGTCCTGAGGAGTGCCCTGGGCGACCCTGTGGCCTACTCGGCGGCCATCTGCTCGATGTGGTCGCTCAGCAGCTTGTATTGCTCTGGAAGAGAGAACAATGATATTTTGTGGGAGAAATGGCGGGTCCTGCTCTTCTCGCCAAGGAAATGACAAGTCAGGACCGCATCAGGGACGGTGAGTGCAGGCTGCTGGAGGCGACACAGCCCTCGCCACCAGCTCGCTGCGGGCCAGGCGCGGACGTGCACCTGGAAATGGGCTCCTTGGCACCAGGAGCCTCTTATGGGAATGATAATACAGAGCGTGGTCCCTCGGGCCCTCCCAGAAGCCTGTGGGAGGCACAGTGCGGGCAGACTAACTGTCACGGAAGCCACGTGGTGGGAGAGGAATGGCGTTCTTGCCCTTTGCTGGTGTGGCGGGCTGGTGACAACATCTGGGATAATCTAGGGATGCCTCTAACACTCTCCCTTCCTGAGGCCACTCTTTTGTAACGCCTTCAGTTTGGTGCAGGATGAAGTTTTTTTTAATTCATGCAGTCATTGGTTGGTGTTTGTATGTGCCCTGATGCGGGATCGAACCCACAACCTTGGCATATCGGGATGTTGCTCTAACTAACTAAGCTACCTGACCAGAACAGAATGAAGTGTTGTTGTTGTTTTTTTTAAAAAAAAAAAAAAAAAAACACTGGCCAATCCAAATATGCAGTGAAGTGGAAGGCTTGGAGGCCTGGAAGAAATGCTGTTTATAGCAGGTGGGGTGATGCATGAAGGTGGACACAGTCCTATGTCAGGGGAGCTGACATCAGCAATGGATCCCCTTCTGTTACCGAAGCAGAAACTCTAGATAACCCCCCAAAACCCCTCCACCTGCCCCACCCTGCCCGCTCACTGCATGGGTTTAAGAAACAAAGGGAGGCCATGTGGTGGCCATTTAGAAGGAGGGGCAACTGGTGGTGAGTTTGGCCATTTTCCAGTTCAGAGTCTGAGCGCCCAGGTCCATCTTTGCCCTTGTCCCTGACCTTAAACACTGCACTGTCAGCTCCCCAACGCCTGGCAACCCTGCTGGGCTGCAATGGGCTCCCAAACAGCACGAGCAGTGTCCTGTGCATTGAAGTCGACAGAGACAGAGGAGGGCGACCCAGCGGACAGCACCCGCTTCTCACTAGAACAGGGGCGATGCTTCCAGCAGGTGGGGAGACCGGTCTGCAGAGCGCTGGTCCCTGGAACTGCAGCCCCACCTCTGGCCGCGACTCACCTTCATCCAGGTTGCCGATCACAGCCTGCTTCTTCAGAAAGTCATTGCACAGCTTCTTGTTCAGCCCGAAGGCCAGCATGTTGTGAGTGAACGTGCTGGAGGGAAAGACACCATGAGTTAGCACCCTCCTGCCCCCGGGGAGAGGAACCCGGACCTGCCCTTCCTTCTGGAGGCCCTGCCTGCTGCCTGCCGCCTGCCTGGGATTGTCAGACAGAAGTAAAAATAAATCGGTCCTTGTCAGCCGGCCAACGGCTCCCTGTGGCAGTGCCGCCACAGGTGTGGAGATGGGGGGCGGGTGATAGAAACTGGAATCCAGGCCGAATGTAATGAGTCACATGCTGCCGAGCTGTCTGAGCCTTCACGCTGGGCTGACCCTGTCACCACATGGACACTGTGGGTGGGAGAGTCCCCACCCAGTGTGGGCGTCAGCGTCAGCACCCCTGCCTGCTTCTCTTTCTGTGGGTGACCCGGTGTCACGAGGGCGGGGCTCCGGCCCGTGCTCTTACCCCAGCTGCCCGAAGGTGATGTTCTCGTTGAACCGCAGGCTGTCGTCGCGCTCCTCCTGCGTCATGTGGCACCACTTCTCCCTGCAAGCACAGGGGACAGGAGAGGGCCTTCAGAGCGCCACTGCGCCCAGCCCCTCCCCCGCCCTGCTCTGACCTACGGTGTCAGCGGTACCCACGCAGGGCCTCCCCACACAGGAAGCCCACCAGGGCTCCCACACTGCCTGAGGGCCCCCCACTTACTAGTGTCACCCTTCCTAAGATGAGGAGGGCCCAGAGCTCAGACATTTCCTACCGACGGGAGGGGACGTGTGCTTGGTGGTTGCCTAGGACATTCTCCAGGAGCTAAGAATGCCGCCTCCATGCCCTGATCCTTGGTTTGAGGATGGAGGTCACGGCCCATTTTACGGACAGAGACATGCAGAGGAAAGGACCCTGTGGCGTCCCGTGGGGAGTGGACATCCAGACCCTGCGAAGAGGCTCTCTGGCCTCTCTGGCTTTGGTGGCTCTGGCCTGTGGGGAGGGGATGGCCTGCTGTGGGCGGCTGTGCCCGAGGCCCAGGGAGCAGGGGTGCTGGAAGGCCCTGCCACCCTCACTGTCGGGTCAGGCAGCCTGGGTGCAGCGGTCACTGTCTCCCCGTGGCTTCCTCACAGCTGGCGCTGCCTGTCCACACCCTCCTGGGCGCGTGGACCAGACTCAGGTCCTCCCCGCAGGCCCCAGTGAACCATGAACCGTGAACCGTGCCCACCATGAAGACGGCATAAAGCCTCCAACACGAAGCCAGAAAAGGATGCAGGGAGGGGAGGGTGTTCTTCTGAGCGAGTCATGCTATCTCTGCCTGAAAGCTGTCCCCATTGTCTCCCCATGCCCTGTCCCCAGTGGACGGGTGACCACCCCACCCCCGCGCTACTCTGCCCCCGTGTCCCCTGCATTTGAGAAGTGTGCTACTTGCAGGAAGTGCAGATGGTGAGAAGCTCAGTTTAGCCTATTTCCTCCTAAAAATTAAATTCTGGATGATGAGTCTAAAACAAGATTAGGAGAAAGATCAGAGAAAAGGGAGAGAGGAGGCAGTATGAGGGACGAGGGGTTGGGATAATGGAGAAGCCAGAGGAAGAGAAACACCATGAACATTAACACTTCACCCGCCCCTCCCGGCCTGGGACTCCGCAGGGGCTGCTGCCGCTCAGCGGGAGGCCCAGGACCTGGGCATGAAGGAGGCGAGGACACATGCAGCGCCCGTCTCCTCCGCCTCCGACAGGACACCCAGGCAGACAGCCAGAATCTGCTCCCAGGTGCTGCACTAACCCCGCCCTCTCTCCCCAGTGGTCTCCTTAGAGCTGTCCAGGCACCCAGATCCCATCCTGCCCCCAGGCCCGCTGGGGACAGGTGTGCAGGCTGCAGGCTGAACAGGCCCAGTCCCTTGGAGTCCTGGGGCGCAGCAGCTTGACTCCACCCCTCTGGGCCCAGGAGCGGAGGGGATTCTGTTTGCTGTGACTAGGAGTAGAACTGGGCCCTTAAATCTGACCTCTGAAGAAAGAGGTGGAAGGTGATGCCTACAATCAAATCAATTCCTTTAAGCTATCCGGTACCAGTCAAGTTCTAAAACTCCCAGTGGGCGGAACATTCTAGACTGCAGCAGTGGGAACTTGGAGTGACCAACAGCCTGTAGAATGGGGAGCCTTCTGCAGGAGATGTTTCCACCCGAGAACAGAGAGGACACCAATGGCATGTTAGCCGTTTACAATAAGCAGAAATAACATGGAAGCATCAAGTTGCCCTGGAGTCGGAGCTGACCCTCCTGCCCCCAATCTCAAGCAGCACCTGCCCCTCTTCCAGGTACGGCCTAGGGCACGTTTGGGTGTCAGGGGAAGGTCTGAGATGTGTGCGGTCGGACCACATCTGCTCCAGTGAGAAGGCCTGTAAGGCCCGGATGCTGGCCTGCTCCCGGGCTGGGCGCTGACCGGCCGGAGGCCACAATGCCCCACCCTCTTGCCGGGCTGAGGCTAAGGAGCCTGCTCTAGGAAGCTGGCTCACCACCTCACCCAGAGAGGCTGTGGGAACGCAGGGGTTTCCTCCTAAAGGAGACGGGTTATGCCTAAATGCCCCTTTTAGAGCCACAGGAAGGCTGCATAAAAAACAAGATTTCTCATAAAACAATAAGCACCAAAATTATATTACTCATTAAAGTTAGCATGTTTGGGGAAATTTTCATGGGGGGGGGGGCGAGAAATCATTGTATCAGAAATGATATTTTGAATAGGCAGGCCTCTATATTACAAAGGATGTCCAACAAATATGTATAAAGTTCAGTTAGAGTCAGACCCCACTGTGGGCTACCAGGAGACGACCCCATGCTAGGCCTTTTTCTCGGGGACCCCTCATACACACAGGCTCCGTTAGGCTGGGAGAGAGAGCGGCTGTCCCTTTCCTGTGACTCCCCACCCTGTTACGGCGGTGAGGGTCTGGCAGACCCCCGCACACCTGCGTGTGTGACTGAGTGTGTCCCCTGCACCTGCCCAGGGCTTCGGAGCCAGGATTCCAGTGTGACACAGTGAAGGTGCGGGTGTGGCTGTGAGGTCGGCCTGGAAGGGGCCAGAGGGGCCAGCGAAAAGCTTGATTTGCTTGAAATCGGAGCTGACTTTCTGGACTTCACTGCTCTCTCCTCTCTGAACTCCCACTGGGCCTTCTCGGAGGTCCGGGTGCCTTGTTTGTTTCCTATTTTGGGGTGCTCTGTCCTTGGAGAGCTCTCACCCATCACCAGCCTGGCCCCCCAGGGACACCCTCACTGCTGGTAGCCAGTGCTGAGTGGCACCTGTGTCTGGGCTCCGGCCACCCCCGCCCACCCTGAGGTGGCCCTGAGGGGACCCAGCACTGTAACATGAACAAAGTCACGTGGACACACACCTCTTCTTCTCCTCCTCTCCAGCATCCCCTCTGGAGCGGCAGCAGAAACAGGTCAACAGAGGAACATGTCAAAGTCATGCAAGATATGTGGATGGAAAAAGAGAACAAGCGGAAGAAGGAGGGTTATTCAGGCAGAAGCAGAGAAGGACAGAGAGAGGCAGCGTATTTGAGATAAATCTGCTTCCTAGGGATTTGAGAGCTAAGCAAAAAGAAACCCCATTCACCTACGAGCATCTAAGCATTTCCTTCCTTTTCGTTCCCTGGCGAGTGTAGAGTTCTCTCTAGAGTCCTTGGGAAGTGTCAGCATCCGCCCCCGACCCCCGCGTGCTCCCTCTGCCTCCCCAGGAAACGCAGCCACAGCAGACTGCTGGGGGCACAGGCAGGCCACCTCGCTCCCATTAGGGTTCGGTTGCCACCCAAACAGGTTTCACCTGCAATTCCCGCACGTGCTAGTGGGCTGAAGACTCAAACGGCAGGATCTGCCCTCTCTCCTGCCAGGGACCAAGGTTAAGGGTTCTCCCTGGGGTTAGGGGAAAGGGGATTCATTTTGTTAATGAGCGAGGTTCAGAGGCTTCCAAAGTCCTGACCAGGGAGGCCAACAAGGGCGCCCAGGACTGGGCCGGCTGCTGCCCCTGTCCTGCCCAGCGCTGTGCGCAGTGGGTAGCACCTTAGCTCACTGTGACCAGAGAGAGAACTGAGCACCAGCCCACGGCAACCTTAGCTCACTGTGACCAGAGAGAGAACTGAGTGCCAACACCTCACTGCCACCACGTGCCACGTGCTTGGTGAAACGGTTCACCCAAGGGGTCTTCGGAAGTGGCGAGACCACCCTCAGGGAAGCTGGGAAGGGCTGCAAACCAGAGGAGCAAGTTGAAAGCAGCAACTGCATTTCTCCAGATGTTCAAGCAAAGTCTGGGGGTGGCAGCCAGCCCTGCACCCCAGCCCTGCACAGCCCTGCAGCAGTGGTTCATGCTCAGGACTCGGACTTCTTACAGAGACCAGGCAGAGTGAGCCGAGGGGTCCCCAGGGGTCCATTTAGGGGGCGTCGCATTTCTTAGGAGGGTCAGGCTGAGTCATGCCAGCCCCAGGACAGGGAGAGCTCATGCAAGTACCCGCCCACCCCTGGAGTTCTGCTCCGGGGCCTCAGGATCCTGCAGGCAAAGGCCCGGGGCTGATGGAGAGAGACCCATGACTCAGCCGTTCTTCTGCTCTCCTCTTCAGAAACAGGGAAAGAACGCGCTCCCGGGTCCTCCTCCCCAGGGCGCCAGCCCACACGTTCTTCCTACCTGGTCGTGGGGGACCGCTTTCTCCTCTCACAGTGGACAGCATCGAAAAAGGCCGCGTTCCAGAACCTCAGCGTGTGCCTGCGAAACAGAGACACTCGTCACTTCTCCAAGCGGTGAGGGAAGGCCGCTCCCGCCCACTTGAGGGATGAGGAAGCCGTTTCCAGCCACATCCGGATGATGGACAAGTTTCAGGGAGGCAGGGCTGAGATGGGAAGACAACTGAGCCTTAATCCTAAATCAGGTGCCTCCCTGGGGCTCCCGGCCAAGCATCATGAGTGCCTGGGTGAAGTGCAGGCAGGAAGGAGGCAGAGCTGGGTAACCCTGGATTCCTCAGGTCAAAGCTGAGGCCACTAGGGGCAGGAGCCCTTTCCCGCTTCTCCATCTCCCACTGAGGCTCCCAAGAGAATGCAGGGGGTTCAAAGAGACCTGCTTTTCTAGAACAGGTGCTAGTAACATAAACGGCAACCTGGCAGGGACAGGCTACGTGCAGAGGGCAAACATGTTTATAGGGACACACAGTAAGAAGCATTCCTCTTAAAGATCAGGGGTCAGCCAACCATGGATTTGGTGGGTGGGCCGAATCCGGCTGCTGCCTGTGTCAATCAGTGTTTATAGGAACATAGCCCCACCCACTCACTTACATATTCTCTAACAGCAAAGTTGAGTGGCTGCCTGCAAAGCCTAAAATATTCATCACCTGGCCCTTCAGGGCTGTTACCCTATTGCAGGTGATAAGACAGCCCCCAAGTCAAGGCCCAGGGGCTGTGACAAGCTGGTCAGCTTCCACTTCTCCCTGATTCCCCTTGAAAGTGGCCCAGTTCAGATGGGGCCTCCCCAGGGAAGTTCCTGGGCAACTCCAGCCCTGCCCTCTGGCTGGGCCCTGGCTTTGTTGTGGCCAAGTTCTCCCACAGCTACACCGTGATCTCTGAGGGAGGGCATGCCTGGTACCTAGGGTTCCAGGTGCTGGTGCATTGCCTGTTGTGAGTAAATAAACACGGGGATAGAAAGGCTGCAGAGGGATTAGCAGCACAAGTGCTCATCCACACAGAGCAAGACTGAGGGCAAGATTTCCCCTGACCACTGGCCTCTCACTTCAACCGCACCTTTATACATATAAAGTGGCTTTATTGGGGTATAACTCACCTACCATAAATTCACTCCTTTAAGCATGCAATACTTAAGTGGTTTTGGTATATTCACAGAGTGGTACAACCATCACCACTATCTATTTCCAAAATATTCTCATCACCCCATACCCATCAGCAGTCACTCCTCATTCCCCAATGCCCTCAACCCCTGGCAACCACTAATCTACTCTGTCTCCAGGGATTTGCCTGTCCTGACATCTTATATAAATTAAATCACACCATCTGGTCTTTCAGTCTGGCTCCTTTCACTTAGCAAAATCTGTTCCTGGGTCCCCCACGCTAAAGCAGGTACCAGTGCCTCGTTCCTGTACATGGCTGGGTGACATCCGTGGGATGGCTATGTCACTGTGTGTATCCATACAGCAAATGTCCATAGAAATGGACAGCCACACTGTTTCCACCATTAGGCTCTTAGGAAGAACGCTATTGTGAAGATATATGCACAAGTTTTTGCTTGAATACCCGTTTTCAATTCTTTTGAGTACATTTCTAGGAGTGAAATTGCCGATCATAGGTAACTCTATGTTTAACCTTCTGAGGAACTGCCAGACTATTTTCTAAAGTGGCTGCCCCATTTGACAATCTCGCCAGCAGTATATGAGGGCTCCAATTTCTCCACATCCTCACCAACCCTGCTATTGTTCATCTGTTTATCTGCGTGAGTGACCTTCATTCCTGGTGTGACCAGGTATGAGGGGGGCCTTACCAGATGGGCTGCTGCTTCAGGTGCGTGTACAGGTAGATCTTCTCCCCCTTTCTCTCCTCCTCCGGGCTGCACACGGTCACTGCGGGAGGGGGAGGAAGATTGAGCATGGCTCCGGTTGCAAACCCCATGGATGCTGCTGAGGCCACTGCTGCTTTCCAGCGGCCACAGGCATGCACACTTTTGCACAGTTGAAACTGCACGACAGCTTTGCAACTGCCCGTGGGCAGTAATGAGGTCCTCACACCTGGCAATGATTCTTTCTGAGGGATCCCCAGAAGGCTCCTGTACCCCCAGTGATATTTCCCTGAACATCCAGGATAAGGAGCTTAGTTCCCGCTTCCTCTCCCTAGAGGACTGGCTCTCCTGCGGAAGTTCAGCAAGAAGACAGACCGGAGCTGAGAGGGACTGGGGAGTCACCTACGGCAGCACCTTGTGCTACAGGGGCAGTGCAGCCCAGGACAGTTAGGCACCTGCTTGTTGGTGCTGCTAGTTAAAGGGGGGCTGGTGGGAGACTCCTGCGGGGCCTGGGTTACGGGACCGGGTAGAGGGAGGGCAGCGGGGGCACTCACCAGTCTTCTGCGGCTTGTCCTTGGGCTTGCTCTCCTCCTCCCTGGGGGAGAGGGACCATGGCAGTGACAACATGACCCCCACACTCTCTCAAAGAAACCGTTTTACACTGCTGAAACGAGACTCAGTCTCACAACCAGTGTGTACATTTCATGTGGTTTTCTCTAAACCAAATTTCAATTAAACCAATGCTACCTTTGTCAATTGCCAGTCTTTTTGAATTTAGGCTTCTTTGTGCCATTTTCTCTGAATTCAAAACTCTATAGACCAGAAAAGGGAAAAAGCGAAGTTGCCTGACTGTAATCAAGCCATTGGAGGTGACCGCGGGGACCCCAGGTGGCTGGCACAGGCACCCGGCCCAGAGCTCTCTTGCTGACGTGCCTCTCCCCCTGTGCAAGTGTTCACATCTGCACGCGTGAACAGGGTCCTGAGTGTCTGTGGAAGCTGGGGACAGAGGCTTCTCCTGAACCTGCCTCTTCCTTTAACACAAGCTCTCACCAGTCAGAGGGAGGAGGAAGGAGGGTTTGTCATTTCCCTCCTGCCAACTGACAATGTCCAAGTGCTCCTCACCCATCCAGAAAACACAGACCACAGGGGACCGCCCTGCATGTCGACAAGCAGAGCACATTGGAAACCCTAGAAAACTCTGGGGGCAGGGAGGCAAGCTGGGCTGGCAGCTGCGCTTCTCCAGCAGCTCCAGGCCCCTAAGATCGCCAAGGGCGAACAGACTGTCATTAGCAGGCCAGCAACTCCTCTCACCTCGAACTTAGTCACCTCTGCTGTTTGTCACACCTGCGCGCCTGCCCCTCCCCAGTGAGACAGAGACGCTCAGCAGGCGACACTTACTCGTTTTTCCTGACCAGGGGTCCCAGCCCCCCGAAGAAGCCCTTGACGTTCTCCGTGTTCTTCAGCAGCCGCTCGGCGATGTCCTTCTTCTCCGCTAACCAGCTGTTGGCGGACTTCAAGTAGGAGTCGATGCTCCCTGCAGGCTTCTCCTTGGACTCTGAGGGAAGCAGGTGTGGTTTGCCTGGAGACAGAGGAGAAAGAAAGTGGGAATAAGAACCATATTGTGCAGCAGCAACAACCAAGGGCGGAAGGAACGCCTGTCAGCTGCTGGAGCCGCTCTGGTGTGGCGGGGAGGCCTCCTTCCACATGGCCGGACACGGCAGCGAGAAGCAAACGGCTGAGAGGTGCCCCAGGGAAGACGTGACCTAGGCACCTTCTGTCTCGGGCAGTCACTAAGCACTGACTGTACAAGAAGTCAGCCAGGTGCCACAGGGGCCAAAGAAGAAACAGGCAAGGATCCAGCCCCAAAGCACGCAGCCCAGAAAGGAGGTGAGCAATGCACACAGAGTGAGCGTAGTAAAGGCAATGGCAGAGGCCAAGGGCTGGAGGGCGACAGAGGAAGGGCATTTCCTTGTGGTGGGAGGAGGCATGCAGGTTCCAGACAGGCTGACGCACCTGCATGGGGCCTGGAACAGGAGGGTGCTGGATGAGGGAGATGGCCAGAGGAGGGTGTTCTGGGAGGAGTGTGAGTGGAGGCAACACAAGGAATATCCCTTTCTAAGGGCAGTGTATGGACCTTCAGGCCAAGACTCCCCTGCAGGCCAAGGCATTCCTTACAGGCCAACGTGCCCCCTACAAGCCAAGGTGCCGCCTATAGGCCACGTCACCCCTTATAGGTCAAGACACCCCCCAGGCAAGATGCCCCCTTCAGGTCAAAGTGACCCGTTCAGGCCCAGGTGCCCCTATAGGCCAAGGCATCCTCTACAGGTCAAAGGGCCCTCTACAGGTCAAGGTACTGAGTATCTCCTAATTTCAGCTGCTCTGTGCACAGGTCTGACTCAGATAAGTAGCATCTAGCTGTTCTATGAGAAGAAGGAGCCACAGGTTGGATGAGGGGTTCCCAGCTGACCCAAAGGCAGCCAATGAGTGGCCCAGCACCAAGAGCCTGCCCAGTGGTGGCCTGGCCGAGCTCAAGCAGTCAGACCAGCTACTGCCAACAGAACTGAGGGGCACAGAGAGGATGGCTATTGGGAATGAGGAGGGGACAAAGCCAAATTGCAGAGGACAGGGATACACACAAGATCGAACCCATGGGTCACGCAGAAAGGGTGGAAAGGGAGGCAGCACTAGCACTGCCCTGACCCAGCTCCAGTCCCCGTGCAGGCCTAGCAACGTCTCCTTACATGGCCCGAATGAGACTGTTGTAGCAGCTTAAGACAGGGAGCCCTCCAGCTCCGCATACCAGAAAGTCCCAATGGAATGAGCCAGAAGAGCTGTGAGAGCCTCAGCATGAAGAACAGCCTGCACTCTGCATGAAGGCACCCTGACCCCTGCCTGGGAGGGCTTCCCAGCCCAGAATCCAGACTGCTTCTCTCACCTGCCCGCAACAGCCAAGCCTAAAACTGATGTCCTTACATCCAGAAGTGCCTGTGCCCATCGTGAAATGCCCTGCTGAGTGTTTCACTTCCCAGCAGCTGGGAGGTTTCCTTCATACTGTGGACAGTCAATGACCTGACCTGTCAGGTAGACCATGTCTCCTCCTGTCTCAGGAATCTAACTCCTCGCTCGCTCATTCCCTCCCCGACATCAGCTTTCACTGTCTTCTGGAAGCCTCACAGCTTTGCCTTTGATCAGGAAGAAATCTTCATTTGATGCCAGGTTCGAAGCTGACAAGTCCTGAGTTCCCAAGTTTGCCCTCCACGTGAGCCATGCCCCATGTCTTACCGATGTGGTAGTAAGTGAAGCACATGGTCATGAGGTTCTTGGCAGGCCCGAAGTCATCCATCTGATGACACCTGAAATGGGAAGCAAGGTTGACTGGCTAAAAATCGTCCCACCCGATTTTCTTTCTTTCTTTTTTTTTCTACCCGATCTTTTTACTGCAAGTTCATGAAAAAAGACTGAAATCTTTTACAAAGACGCCTAAATTAGTACCTCACTTCCCAGATGCTACTTAGGAGAGACAACAAAAATAATGCCCCTTGGTCCAGTTACGTGAGTTACGTGAGTTAGATTTTTTTTTAATGAGAAGTGAGGATATTTTTTCCATTGATTTTTAGAGAGAGTGGAAGGGAGGAGATGGGTGAGAGAAAGAGAGAGAGAGAGAGAGAGAGAGAGAGAGAGATTGATATGATAGAGACACATTGATTGGTTGCCTCCACATGCACCCTGAGCAGGGGTGGGATTGGTCCTGCAAGCCAGGTATGTGCCCTTGACTAAGAATCAAACCTGAGACCCTCCAGTGTGCAGGTTGATGCTCTAACCATTTAGCCACATCGGCCAGAGCTAGTTTAATTTTTAACCTTGAACAAACAATGCTTAAAGAAAAAGTCAATAGAAATGATCTAGACAGTGGGTTTGGGTCATTTTTGTTGCTATTTTAATATAAAAATAATTTAATAAATTTAAAGAACTAAACTACTAATAAAACCATACAGACTAAATAAAAGTAAAAACTAAAGATACTAATAAACTGAAATTATAAAACTCATATTTCAAAAAATTAATAAATATTTCAAAATATTATGAAGTTTTGTTTGCAATCCTACAACAATATATATGCTCGCAAAGTAATGGAAAGATTTTGTGTTTTAGCACGGTTGAAACTTGAATTTAATTTTCCCCTTAATTTTATTTAAGAAAAAATGCAAAGAAAAATTGAGAAGTAGGTAAGTATGTTACTATGTGGGACAGGCACAATCTACACCAACTGTGGGTTCGTGAAAACTTCTGTAGATGCAAATGTCTGGAAGTTGAAGAATGTTGTGTCTAAGAGCATGGTGCACACGAGACAACATGAGCTCCCAGCTGAGGCGGGGCACACCCAGTTTCCCCCCGGGGCTATATCCTGAACTTGGGGTGTTCTGGACAAGCGCAGGAAACACAGATCCTCGGCTCTTTTGCTCACTTTCCTCCAGGACATGCCCCATGTTCGTGGCGGAATGATGAGGAGACACCGAGACACAGGGGGGTTAAGACTGAAGAGAAGAGCTACATTTCTGTTGTGAGAAGGAAGGACAAGATGGATGGGGACACAGGGAGGTGGCCATGGTAGAAGCCATGGGACCAGGCCCTGCTTTGAGGCCACATTGAGGTGATGGGGGAAGGATACTAAGTGATTGTCAGGCCAGCCCCTTCCTTTCCCACCCACAATCCCTGCTGTCCACCTGGATCATTGAAGCCACTGCTCAGCTTCCCCCAGGCCTAAATGTGTCCCTTAGATTCATAATTTGGAGGACACATCACCCGCTCTGATACAGGTCCATGACGTCTGAAGCAGGCCTGGCAGTCCTAGAGCCGTGGGTCCCAGGAGAGCCCGCGAGTCCAGGGCCTGCCTCCCACAGCTGCACAGAGGCAGAGGGGCCCTTTCCACCCCCACACACATACTGTCTACCAACGCCTTTGTGAGAAAGGCCCAGCAGTGCCAAATGCCTACTCAGAGCAGGCTGTGTCACCCAGTCGTATCATTAAGTGGGCGGTTACCTAGCTTGAAGTACTTCACAACAGGAAATCAAGAAAATTCCAGATCTCTGCTGGAGGAGGGTGAGGTCAACTGTGTGTAATCACAGCCTGCCCCGAGGACCGGAGTGAGGGATTTACTCACACCCAGCTGCATCCTCTCATCTCTACTGCAGTTAAGGATTCTCACTAACTCCCTCCCACAGCTGCTGGTCACGACTTCTCCTTTTAGCTGATGCTGGGTGCATCACAGGAGCTACGAGCTGATGACTCGGCGGCTCTTACTCACAACCGGGTTATCGTGGGGCGGAGTAGGAAGGGAAGACAAGCTCCTTAGGACAAAGGCTTTGAGCAGCAGCATTACTTACTCGAACAGGACCACCGCAAACGACTGCACGAGGCGGTAGAAGGTCGGCTCTGAGACACACTTTGAATTGCAGCGCTGTTGGGGGGAGGGCAGACACGTCATCGGGCAGCCGGGTGGCAGAGGCAGAGGGCAGCTCAGAGGGGCTGTGGGCTTACCAAGCTGAGCACCTCTCAAGGCAGCTGGGTGAGAGCCCAGGACCACAGCCTCCCCTGCCCTGAGAAGCCAGGACCCTGGGAGGTGCTGGCACCCAGCACAGGACACAGCTCGTCGGAGCACAGGCAGATGTTTTACTGCATCTCCTAGGAACTTCACCCCTCACCCTCATACGAAAGTGTGGAGGGGCAAAACCCCAAATGACAACATTGGCTATTTCTGGATTGTAGGTTTATTAGTAGTTTTTCTATTTGTGCTTACCTGCACTTTCTAATTTCTCTTTGAAGAATAAATTATTTGGGAGAAAAATACTTTAAAAACTAAGAACTTAAGCCACTTTATAGAAAACGAAAAGGAATCCACTGGATATTTACAAAATGTAATTCTTTTCTGAACTTACAGGCTGTCATTGTCCTGAATATATCTTAAAAAAAACTGGATATGGTAGGTTATTTAATAAAAATAGGTCAACCCACACGCTTGCCTTTAAAATCGAACTTTTTGGACTTTCATGTGGTGGACAGGCCAGTTTCTCACTCATTCCTTCCCAGCGGGGCATCCAAATGAGCTACATGCCACTTCCCACTATTCTAAATAGGCCTTTCAGAACATCTTGAGATAAGTGTTACTTTTTTTCTGTTGGGTCATTCCCTCCACTCCTTTCTCCTTAGTGGAGGAATTAAAAAGAAAGAGGATGCCACGTATCACCAGCCCCGTCCCCATCACCGCCTACCTCTCCCATCACACCTGCTCTTACCTGGGCGCTCACATATCGAGCAAACCACTCCCGGCCTTTTCCACTTTCACTGCTGCAGTACTCCCCAAACTTAGCTTTCTCCTCCTGGTCCAAGTCCTCCCTGAAAAAAAGAGCAGAGGGAAAAACTTTCAATCCTCTGGAACAAAACAGGTTACTGTAGGGGGAAGAGGAAAAGAGAGGAAGACCAGCTGAGTACAGCTGCCTGAACTCCGTCAGCTCATCTTACCCTGTGGGCAACCCTCTCAAGGAAATGGTGTTATTTCTATTTCAAAGGTAAGCAGACTGGCTTGGGGGACCAGGCACAGCTGGGGAGTGAACAGGGGCTCCATCATACTTCCTGGCTCCAAAGCCCATGTTCCTTCTCCCTGGTCCTCCTGCCTTCAGTTCGGTGGTCCAAGCACTAACAAGGGTGACGTCGACCTTCTCTGAGGGCTTGTTCTCTAGCTCATCTCACTAATCTCTGGTGCTGAAGCCAGCATGGACCCACCCAGTGAATTCAAGGACGCCTCAGCCTCAGTAGGACAAGCATCTGATGCCCCTCCCACCAATCAGAAGGCGGGCGTGGTTGCTAAGCCTCTGAGCTTCTGAAAAGCCAGTATTCTCACCTCTATCCACTCTGTGTGAGGGGTGGAGACTGGGGGACCGTAGTGGGTCACCACTCACCACCTCCAGAGTGGACAAAGTGCTCACTGATCTCAAATCACTTCTGATCAGTCTTCATAGGGGGCTAATACTCCACCCAAAATTCAATGACTGCAAAAATGAAGTAGGAGCTGAAGATCAATTGGCTTATCCAATATTTCATTTATTTAAGGTTCTGTAGAAAACTACTTGGTCTCATTTATCCCCAAACACCAGATGAAATACGAGAATTTGCCAGCCATTTGCAGTGATTTCTGGAATGCTCTTGAAAATGCGTCCGATCCAGCTGTCCATGTTCCATGATGCCGACAGGCTGCCGCAAACACAGACCAGCCTTCCCGGCAAACTGACAAGCTTCAGGCTTTCTCCCCTGTTCGTTAACTGGGTGTACTCAGAGAAAGCTGACTAATGTCAGTGTTAGTCAAACAAAATAAATAGGAAGCCACATCTACTGCTCTCCCAGAATGCATTTAAAATCAAACATACATGATTTTTAGATAGTCAAATAGATGGATTAGCATTTGAAATTTTCTCTTTTTTAACTGCATAGGAAACTGAGGCACACCTGAGTTTGCCTCCAACGATGCCAGTTTATAAACAAGGGACCTAAATCACGATAGAAAAGAATGTATTCTTTGCAGAGTGTCAACAGCAGACATCCTTACTGCTTTAATGAAATTGGAAAACTTCCCCTTCGTCCAGAGCTCCTCAGATGTGATGTGTGTGGGCAGTTACACACGTGTGAGGCCTTCTTAGAAGGCAGATCCAGGCCAGTGTGTGTAGTGCAGGGTGCTGCCCAAGATTGCATTTCTAAGGAGCTGCCAGTGATGCTGATGCTTTGGGTCCCAGCCTAGCTCAGTGGTTGAGTGTTGACCTATGAACCAGGAGGTAATGGTTTGATTCCCAGTCAGGGCACATGACCGGGTTGTGGGCTCGATCCCTGGTCAGGAGGGTGCAAGAGGCAGCTGATCAATGAGTCTCTCTCATTATTGATGTTTTCTATCTCTCTCTCTCTCTCTCCCTTCCTCTCTGAAATCAATAAAAATATATTATACTAGAGGGCCGGTGTACAAAATTCTTGCACTCAGGGGGGTCCCTCAGCCCAGCCTGCACCATCTCACAGTCTGGGAGCCCTCAGTCAGACATCCTTAACACTGCAGCGGAGGCAGGAAAGGCTACTACCACTGCTGCTGTGCTCGCCAGCTGTGAGTCCAGCTTCTGGCTGAGTGGTGCTCCCCCTGTGGGAGCACGCTGACCACCAGAGGGCAGCTCCTGCATTGAGCATCTGCCCCCTGGGGGTCAGTACCCATCATAGAGATCAGTCATTCTGCCATTCAGTCCATTTGCATATTAGCCTTTTATTATATAGGATATATAAAAAAGACAGTCTGAGTAGCAAGACTTTCAGCCCTGAATGTGCTTCTGTGAATGACGCAAGATCTCCAGTCAACACTTGCCACCCCTGAATTTGGGTTTGATTGCCTCTCCTGGCCCTTGGTTGAGACAGTAATTGCATGAGGCGGGAGAGCTAGAACCTATCCACAGACTCCCTGCTTCTCCTGCATTCTAACTCTCACTCCCACTTCCTGTTGCTCCCCATGCCATGCTCCTTACCCATCCCTTCAAGAACCGTGAAAGAAAGGCCAGGAAGAGGTGCTAGGAAGAGTCCCCACCCAAGCAGCTGCTTAAGGCTCATCACAAGGAGCATGGCTCTGATACCCCCTTGCCTTATATTGCCCCTAAATTTAATGCCAGCTAATAATTGTGGCCCCCTAGCCAAGCATGACTCTGGCAGTTACTGGGAAAGCGCACAGTTACTGGGAAAGCAAAACTAGTGTCCTTGGATTCAGCAATGGTGAGATGAGGGTGTTGGTGGAGTGGTCAAAGCAGTGGTGGGATCAAAGAAAGGGTGAAAATTCCCCACCTAGTTCTATCTGCAGCCGGGGTGGGGCTGTGAACGACTGGGGAGGCCTATCACTGGCTGGTGAGCGGCTGGGAGCCCTGGCCCAGGTGACGCTCTGCTCAAGGACAGAGCCTAGAGCGGAGAGGCCCCGGGGACTTACGCTCCAGAGAAGATCTTTTCCACGTAGCCACGCATGAACTCCCTGAGCTCCAGGGCCTCCTCGTCCTTGGCCGACTCCGTGCTCTGGTTGGAAGAGAAGGACTCGTTGGAGGAGGAGCGGCGGTACTGGTCCCAGGATGGGTGAGAGGGCGACTCGCCCATGTCGTTCTCGCTGTCTGCTGACTCCGTGGTCTCACTCTCCGACCCGCTGTCCCCATCCTGCAGCTTTGGTGGCAGTGCCTCCACAGGTGAGGAGGCGGATGGCTCTGTCTCAAAGTCAATCAGTGAGCCCACGGGGACCTCCGGGGCCTCCATTGCTCGGTGGGCTGCTGAGGAGGATGCCAGCTGAGTAGGTCGGAGGACTGGATTTCCAGGAGTGTCACTGGGAGCTGAAGACTCCAAGGGAGCCTGCCAAACACATGTGAGTTGCTTGGCAACTTCTGGCCACCAGGAATGAGTCCTCTGGGGCAGCTGACGTGGCCCTAAGGCATCTAGGATGGAAGCACACACACATGATCAGCAGGAGGGCAGCTCCTTGTGTAAGGGAAATTCAGCACTGAGAATCCAGACTTAAATGAATGAACTACGTTACCCAATTCCCTGTAAAGAGAAGAGGCCCCAAAATTCCAGAATTTGGGACCTCTCTATACTACCGTCATTCTCCTCTTGTCTGCTTTACTGTTAAATACCTGGTGTGTACAGAGTAGGCACTCAATAAATATTTGTTGAATAAGTGAGTAAATAAATACCATCAGGATTTCTCCAAATAGACTTCAAGAGGGCTGTGTGTGCCGGCCCTCTCTCCACTCCAGACTACCAGACTGAGGACAATGGATAAAGTCTGACCCAGGCTAGACACCTGCTGCCCACTGTCACTGGGATCAATAGCTGTGGAAGATGGGTGTTGTCAGGAGTCTCAGGAAAAGAGGTTTCTGCTAAGCACATGGGCCCCTCACCCCCGAGGCTCACATCTCTTCCTTTCTGAGCTCCTTTCCTAGCATTCTTCCACTCAAGACCCAGAACTTTCCCAGGCTTCAGATATATATCCCTTCTCATCATCCCACTCATACCCTCCAACAATTTGTTTTTTCTTTTTTATTGATTTCAGAGAGGAAGGGAGAGGGAGAGTTAGAAACATCAATGATGAGAATCTTTGATTGGCTGCCTCCTGCATGCCCCACACTGGAAATCGAGCCCGCAACGCAAGCATGTGCCCTGACCGGGAATCGAACCATTACCTCCCGGTTCATAGGTTGCTGCTCAATTACTGAGCCACGCTGGCCGTGCCCCTACGACAATTTCTAACATCACTGGCCATCTGGACCCAACCTCCCCTTTCCCCCTTCTCCCTGCACTACAGCCACCCTGGACAATGACATTTGCCTCTGGTGTCTGTCCTGTTACTCTTCCTCCTCTTCTATCTTCCTCCCTCTTGCCCACCCAGAATTCTATCCATCCCTGGAGGCTTGGCTTAGCTCAGCTCTTCTGATAAGCTTCCCTATTTAACCCTGTTGAGCCCTGGCATTTTACTTACACTCATTTATAATTCTGTCTGTTTGGCAGGTAGGTATTAGCCTTTTTGTTTATCCCACTAAAGTATAACCCCAGGAGGGTGGAGCAGGCCTTAGCCACTGTTGTAGCAACCTGGGTGCCCAGCACAGTCTTGACTAAATAAGTATTCATGTATGTTTGCTGATGGTGAAACAACCTGACCATGGACATGCTCTAAGGGTCCAGAGAGTTGGCGACACAGACTATGTAATAGCAGAGCTGGGGACAGAATCTCTGTTTGTAAACCAGGTCTCCTGACAGCCAGTTTGGGAGTCACCTGACAGTTCCGGGGCCCTCCCTTCCCAGTGACGAAGCGGGAATTAGTCCTCTAGTTGCCAAAGCCCCTCCAGGCAAGAGCACCTCCTGAGCCAGGGCCACATCCCTCTCCTCCCTTTTTACCGACCCAAATGTCTGGGACAACACCTGGCAGACAGAGGCTACTGATCTTGATGAACTAATGCATCTTCTGAGGGCAACACAACTGTATTTACTGCCTGCTAAGAGCTTATCGATTATGGGTTTCTCCAAATTCCCCAGCCCAGGGTATTTTTAAATGCCCTTGAGTCAGAAAGATGGAATGGCTGGCTCCTTGTCATCAGAATGGCAACAGCACGCCCTCAGTAGAGTCCTACGAAGTTTGCCTTGGTCCAAAAAAGAGACCCATAAACCCCAGTGCAAAAGAACTTTTGGGGCGAGAAGAGCAACAGGGACGCTTAGGAGCTCAGATCAGAGGGCTGGCGATTCGGGCAACCTGGGCTCCCCTCTCCCCAGCCGTGTCACTGAGCCGAGGCCTCTGCTCTCTGGGCTGGGTCTCCCCATCTGAGACATGGAGGCCAGGTTAGCTCTCTAAGGTCCTGCTGGCAGTCGTGTTCTCAGAACCTCTGTACAACAGAAAGCCACACCTATAACACACCTACTATTAAGATGGAAAATCACACACTAGAAAAATGTTTGCAGTCACTATGATAGGAAAACTGAGTCAATCAATTAATATTATAAATTAACTCAAATCCAAACTAAAAAATCTCTATTCTGATAGATACTAAAATAATCTATATTCCAATAGATATGCAAACTACTCAAACAGGTAAGGCACACAAAAGGAAATGCCATTATTAAATGCTTAGACAATTCTTCAACCCATATTAAAACAAGTAGGTACCATCTGATATTGTAAAATTAGCAAAAATTTATAACCCAAATGCTGATGAGGTTATGATAAAACTAAATTTTCTAACAACCCTGGTAATAGGGATACTTTAAAAAGCAATTTCTATAATTCTCATTTTTCTCTCCTCTGATCCAGAAATTTAAATGCTCAGAATTTATCGTAAGCAAATAATTCAAAACACTCAAAAATAGTTATATGAAGAAAAATGCTCACTGCAACAATATTTCTAATCCTGATAAATTGAGGGTAAAATCTAAATATAGTAAAATGGCAAATAAATCTAACAATTTGATGTAATGGTAATTAGTAGATATACAATTAGAAAACAATTAGAACATCAGTGAAAGTAAACAAAATATTTTACGGTCAACAAATAATTATTAATCCTACTGCATGTCACCCTCTGTTCCGGGTTCTGAGAATCCTGAGTGAGTGAATTTTAATTTTACTATAATTACAATTATGTATACATATGGAAAAGACTGGAGAAGAATACGGAAGTGTATTACAGGGCTGGCACAGAGGTAATTTCCCCTTTTTATTTTGTTCTTTACCACAACAACGCAGTATACAATAAATAAAAATCCACAGGGAAAAGGAAACAAGTATCTTGAAACATTTCAAGTGGTCAGAAGGGCTGTGCTATGTACCAGGGCAGAACCCCCACCACACAGGAGGTTCAAGATCAGACCCAATTATCATGGTTATTTCTGGTCCAGCCTGAGGCTCATGGGACGCTCTCCCAGCACAGGGTCTCAGCTAGAAAATCCTGAGAATGAGTCACCCTTTCCCAGGAGCCTCCTCTGTGGGCTCAGGAAGGAGGGGACGAAGTGAGATGGAGAGGCCCTCAATGAGGGCCCAGGCCTGAGCTCCAGGCAGGCACTGGGCTTCAGCACTTGGGCCCCAGGGGCCTGCGCACTGTCATCTCACATGGCAGCCCCGGGCCCCTCAGCCCAGGTTGCATGTCTCTCTGGAGAGAAGGCCGGGATGCCAACCCTGTTCACAGAACTAAGGGCAGGGTGAAGGCAGTTGGTGCTCAAGGCCTTGGAAGCCATCCCACCCTCTTCCTCCAGGAAGGAAATGTGATTTCGGGCCTCTGTGCAGGACAAGGTGACGGGCACGCTGAGCACACCAGGATCCCACAGCTCAAGTGGATTGCCTGTGTTGGGCCATCCAGAGAACACAGAGGAGGTGAGCCCAGTGGAACGGACCGCACTGTCCCTGCTCAGACCTACTGGGTGCTACCATGCAGGATCTCGGGCCCAGTGGTATCAGATCCAAAGAGCTCACCAAACAATGTTGAAATCTACTATGTGAAATCTTCCAATTCTGCAACCTTGGCAACTCATTTAAATTTACTTCAAAACATGTCGTTGGCCAAAGAAAACACATCTGTGGATCAAGCTCCAATCCGTTTGCTTTGTTTTATACACACGGAGACTCTCAGACCCACAGTAGATCCAGACTCTGACACTCCAGGTTTTAAATTGTGGCAGAACCTCTGCAGTTTCAGCGTGTGGATATTAAAAATACTTTTCTACAGACTGGAAGCAGGACAAACCTTCCCACAATTGCACTTTTACAACTGATTTCCCAAATCTTATGGAAGAGACTTATGGCAGAGACTTATGGCAGAAGTCTCTACCAACCAAATTAGGCTAAAATTCCAAGTCAACCTATAACTTCCAATGGCCTTAACCATCTATTCCAGTGGTTCTCAACCTTGGCGGCCCCTTTAGAATACCCTGGGGATCTTTTTAAAATCCTGATTTCTGGGCCTCATCCTCCCGGAAATTCTGTTTCTTTGTTATGGGGTGGGGCCCACAACATTAGTAAAAAAGAAACAGAATTTCCCGGAGGATGAGGCCCAGAAATCAGGATTTTAAAATGATTCCTAGGTGATTCTAATGTGCAGCCAAGGTTGAGAATCACTGATCTATTCAGTCAACAAATATTTATTGGGCAGCTGTAGGCATCAACTACTGTGCAAGGAGCTGGGAATACAGCTATGAACAAGGCCGTATGGAGCATTTGGTCGTGTGTGTGTGTGTGTGTGTGTGTGTGTGTGTAAGGCAGGGGGAGGGTAAGAGACACTTAATAAAAACCCAGATATAGTCTCAAGGTGATGATGACCCTGAGAGTGCTGAGAGGTGGGGCTTCTTTGGACCGAGGGTCAGAGAGGCGCATATTTGAGCTGAGACAGAAGATCATCTGGGAAGACCTGAGGGTCTGCTGAGCAGAGAATAGTCTGGGCAGAGGGCACAGCCCTAAGCAGTGATGGCTTTGGGAAGTTCAGGGACTGGGAAGGCTGATGAGGTAGAGAGCAGCTGCTCTCAGAGAAGAGGTTGGCCAGCTGGGCTGGGATAGATGTGCAGGGAGGGCATGTCAGCACGGTGGGAGCCTGGAATGCAGTGCAAGGGCGCTGGGCAGCCATGGGAGGAACTGAACACAGGCAGCCGCCGTGGAGGACAGGAGGAGAGCAAAGGGGCCAGTGGGCACATCCGGTGGGAGGTTTCCAGACCTCCTGTGGCCACCTCCTTCCGCCCAGCCTTTTCCCGCCACAGTGGGCCTGGCTGCAGAAGGAACTCGGAAGGAGATTGCCTTCTTGCGGCTGCTCAGCCACATCCCCGAGGGGCTTTGCTCAAATCTGATTTCCCCAACACCCCAGCAACCAGAGGTAGGACTTCCCCAGCAAGTTGGCCTTGAGCAATCAGATGAGGTTCCCTGGGGGACAATCCAGAACTTTCTGTAACTCTGCCCCTTGCATTAACCTCAGGCAGCTCCCT